TCTACCAGAGAACTGATACTGGAGAAACAATTACTTCTGCACAGTATTTTACTGTAGTCCTGAGACAGTGTGCATACAGAATCTGTAAAATGAACTTCAGAAAGCCAGTGTCCTTGTACAGATTTCAGATAAGGCTATGGAGAATTTCTCCAAAGAAAAAGTGAATCAAAAACCTTCTAACATCTCAGTTAATTTTAACAGCATTGCATTTCAGTGAGGAAAAAAAGAAACAATTTTGTTTTCTAACAACACCACCATGAAATGTCTCCTGTAGAAAATACTTATTTTAAAATTCCAAGCCCATGTCATGATATTTGTCTCACATCAGACAATCACCACAATCACTTCAACATTTTTTCTTCTTAAAATACTAGTTAGATTTCCCACAGATTCAACAGTTAAGTGAAAGCTCCTGAAATGCAAGAGAACACAAATCAAGACAGATGATTATGATTTGTACGCCAAGGATCCACAGGCCATGAAATAAATTAAGAAAAAGGTGAGCTGGGAGTAACGAGCTGTTTTCTGAAGTGAGGTCTGTAACTCAGCCATCGCAGCTGCACCACAGGAAGTACCTGCTGGGTGCAACACAGCAGAGGAACTGAGACTTCACACACCACATTTGCATTCATCTCAAACCAACAAGGAATTGCATTTAAAGTTCTCTTGCTACAATTCAAAATAAAGACACAAGGAAGGCCTCAAGCTACTCTCTAATAACTCTGGAATCAAAGGGGGCGGTAACAAGATCATGACTCAGTTGCAGACAGTTTTTTAAAGGCCATCCACAAGGTTTAATTCATCCTAAAGATACTCTGAAATACTTGCAGTTCTTCTTCCCTTGATAGGTGAATCTATATGCACACAGAGGGAAAATAATATTAACTATTTCCTAGCCTAACACCTACATGGCTTTCCAAACTCATCATAACTTTACTGTAATATCCCTGCTTTCCTGTTTCATGTGCTGACTAGAGGCCACATATTAGGATATCTGATTATTATCTTATTGTCTCTATCACACCCCCACACAGTGAAGAGAATGCAAGTATTTTTGTGTTAAAGACCTCAAAGCTGAGAAAACTATCTAACCTGCCAAAATAAGTGCGAAAAACACATCTTAAATACAAACCATACCAGGAAAATATTTCTATCATTTAAATTCGATTAGGCCAAGAAAGTCCTACATGCGAACCTTTTTTTCAACAAGCACAAGAACATAAAACTTCCTCAAACCTCAGATTAGCGGATATGAGGAGAGCTGGAATGAAAGCTCAGCTTTTCTATAGCAAAAGACCTGATGGCTAGAAAGGTGAAGGTATTTTACTGGGGCAGTAACTCAGCGTACCAGAGCTATAATTTTAACTCCCCCTGACTAATTTCTCATGACATACTTTTTTTCAAGCATATACAAGGTCTAAAGTCTGCCCGTACTAAGGCTTATTTTAAGTGAGAAAGCTGCCTTGTTATGCAGCAAATTCAAACTCCTAGCTCTCACTTGCTCCGTTCGAGCTGCATTCCCCCTTTCCATCTAAAAGACGAAGAACTTTTTTATCACTGCAGCTGTATTTGTTCTGCGTATTGACCAGCTGCTCGCCGACCGGACGTCTGAGCGTTTATATTCCTCATCAAACTACACTACATGATAAAAATTCGATAGTTTGATGCGGCTGTCCTCGTTTCTGCCCAACTCACAGCCACACACACACACACACACAGAGCGGCTCCGAGGCCAGCCCCAGCACGAACCGGCCAGCGCCGGCTCGGGCGTTGTTTCCGCCCGCAGAAACCGGCGGGACGGCTGCACCGGGCCCTGCGCGGCCCGGGGGGCTCCGTCTATCCCCACGCCCGGCCCCGCCGCTCCCCCGGCGGTACCTGTTGTTGCGGACGCTGCTCAGGACGCACAGCACCAGCTCCAGGTAAGTCCTCAGCAGGTCGAGCCAGCGCGGGCTCAG